TGGACTTTGGTTGCTCCCAAAACAAGGATGTCAAAAAAAAAAACACCGAATTCAACCTTAAATTTCACTAAGGAATACAATATCTAGAAACAAGGAAGTAATGCTTTTGCAGTTATGTGTTACAAATATTTTCAACCAGTCTATCATTTGCATTTTATCTATACTTACAAGATTATTTCTATATAACTTAAAAAGAAATAAAATATGTATGTTGCCCTTTGCTGATGTTCCTCAGTGGTTGGAGTGTTGGCCTGCGCACAAAAGGGTTACAGGTTCAATTCCTGGTCAAGGGCACATTCCTGGGTTGTGGGTTCGCTCACTACCCCTGGTTGAGGTGCGTGCAGGAAGCAACCAGTCGATGTGTCTCTTGCACCGATGTTTCTCTCTCTCTCTCTCTCTCTCTCTCCTTTTGTCTCTCTCTCCCCCTCTCACTCTCTCCTCCCTACCCCTTTTCCACTCTCTCTGAAAAAGCAATGGGGAAAATATCCTCTCATGAGGATTAACAAAAAAACAAAACAATAACAACAAAAATATGTATTTTGTCGAAATTTGTTAGTTTTTGCTTGACATGCTATTTTCTGTTTTTCCTAAGATAGTCTTTACCATCAAAGGTAATAACACCATCCCACGTTTTTATTCTTCACTTTGCACATTTAGAACCTTGGTTTGAAGTAGAGATCCAACATTATTTTCTTCCACTTGAAAGTATATTGTACACCAATACCTTTTAATAAACAAAACACTTTCCCCCTATGAACTCTATTGTCATTTTGATAATATTTGAAAGTTCCATAATTACCTGTAACAGCTGTATTTTATTATTTTTTATTGTCTATACTTGGAAAGCAACATGCTGTTTTGATTAGGAAAGGTTTATTTTACTTTTTAATATCTCAGCTTCCTCGTTCTTATTCTTCTCTCAGTTTTCTATAATATGTCCACTTAAGGGCACTTTCTCTAGGTACAGATAATAAGATGAAACTGGATACAAACTGTAAGATGTATGTGTTATCTCATAACTAAAAAAAGCAGTTAATTCAGTTAATAGGCAGAGTTTCAATTAAATTCCACAGAATATATAAAAATAAAACAGTAGCCCAACTGGTTTGCTCAGTGAATAGAGCGTCGGCTTGCAGACTGAAAGGTCCTGAGTTTGATTCTGGTCAAGGGTACATGCCTGGGTTGTGAGCTCGATCCCCAATAGGGGGCATCCAAGAGGCAGACGATCAATGATTCTCTCTCTCCCTCTCCCTTCCTCTCTGAAGTCAATAAAAAATATATATATAAAAAAAATAAATAAAGCAGTATAGGAGAAACCCAGATGGCAGCATAGGTAAACACCTGAAATTGCTGCTGCACACAACCACTTCAAAACTATAACTAAAAGACAAAACGGACATCATCCAGAACCACAGGAAGGCTGGCTGAGTGGAAATTCTACAACTAGAAGGAAAGAGAAAAGCACAC